TATTAGTTATTTTTAGTGAATGATAAACAAATGTCTCAGAAACAAGGACAAGCATCATAGTAAGTAATAGATTTAATTTATTGTCCATATGTATGTATAATTCTGACGAGTTTCTAAGACAGCTGCCAGAAATGTCTTTATTTTTAGAGCATTATAAAATCACAGTTAATTATCACCACATGAATTCTACAGATGTTAAAACTAAGAATTAACATACATTCTGTCAAAGGTAACAGCTTCTTTTCCCACGTCCCCATTTCTCTGGTCCCTTCAAAGCAACGTTCTCTTCCTCACCATCTCTCCAGACTCAACTCTCACAGATTTCTACAAATAACAGCCCATTCAAGTACTTCTGCTGAGCCTCATATAAGGAACCAGTTCCCTTGATCATTAAATCCACTGCATAACACAGAGACAACTGAAACAACATCCACACTTCTTCCTGTGAGCACCCACCCTCTAACTGCTCCCTGTCAAAGAGGCAGCTTTCAAAACACATTCCTTACCAGACTACAGAGGATTGTCAGTGTGGATTAAGTTGGTTTAGGAGCCTGAGGAAGGGGAGAAAATGACACATTTTGCTGTTTATTTACAAAACACGGGATTTAGCAGAGTCCAAAGCTTTGTGAATACAAGCAGTGTTGTTACTGCTAAAAATTAGCAATCTAGTGTGTGTTGTAGGACAATGACATTCACTTTGAGGGAGCATCTTGTTACTGTATAGTGCTTGCATTGGACACATATTTGTAGAGGGTGTAATCAAGAGATAATTCTCCTAATATTTTTGTTCAGTAGGGCGTACTTATGTGATTTATATACATGGGAGCAAGAAACAGTTAATGTAGCCCTTCCAATAGAAGGAAGAGCATCATTTTCCATACTTCAGAACAGACCTCAAACTTCTTTTTTAGAAAACAAATTTCATGTTCCAAGAGATGAAACTGAAACATGAAAAAATTTGCAGCTTTCACAGCAGCATGTGTCCCCAAAATGAAACTAACTTCTTAGCATCAGTGCAAAAGCCTTTCAGTTTCTAAAAAGAGAAGGGACACATTTTCTTGTGGGAGGAGGGGATCCAACTATTCCTTTTAGAAGTGGACATTTCTGTTGCTGTCCCATGCTGTGTGCAAGTAGCCTCTCCACTCCCACGAGTCTTGCAGTGCCTCTACCTGCTGTGCAGGAGAAGTGATGGGCTCCAGGCATGTGTCCATGTCCAGTCCAGCTCTGACACTCTGGGATATTGAACATGAAATTGAGCCTGGCAATGAGTTTTAGGGCTGGAAAAAATACAGCAATTGGCAAATTCTGTAAGAGGAGAGACTAGGTCACAAAGAGATCAGAGAAATATTTTTGCTATTGAAAGAGGTGTGAAGAATTTTCTTACAGGACTGAATTTGACTGGGAAGATGTACTTGCCACGCTCCAGCAGCTGAGGTGTGAGATCATGCAGCCACTGCAGGAGGTCAAGAAACCAAATTCTTGCTCCTCAGCTGTTGTTTCTGGCAAGCAGGTTTTATGAATAATTGTAGGGGTTTTTTTTGAAGGGGGTGAAGGTGGTGTTTAAGCTGCCAGGAGTTCACGTTGCTCTGTGAGCAAGACCTTAGCCACAAGTGAAGTAATGACCACTTCCAAAATCATGACCGTGTTTGCGTAGATAAACCTGGAGTTATGACTTCTTCTCACCCAGGGACCTCAGAGATTTCGGTGTACTGTGTGCCTGGACTTTCTCAGTTTAAGAATTATGTGACTTCTGAAGGAGAGTTATAATAACCAGGAACCTATTTCAGACCTTGAACAAAGCTGGCCACTGCTTACAGAAGGAATGAAATCTCAAATATCCCTGTGAACAGCTGGACTTCTCCTCTCCTTACAGGGGACACAACTTTTAATTATAAACAGAAAATTTTTATGGTTATTTGACAGATAACCAATTTCATATACTCACTGATTTTAATCATAAAGAGAAAGCATTCCTTAAAAAAAAAACTTTAAATGGCTGTTCAGGACAAACTGTGTTTATATGGGACAGTTAGCACTATAATAATGCATCACCAGCAACTGCAGTATAACTAAAGCAACACACTGGCACATAATTAACAACTTTCTTCCAATGAACCATGAGCAACACCTTATTTTGGAATCTTTGTATTCTAGGAATTAAGGGCAGGGTGCAGAGCAGCAGAACTCAGATAGATTATAACCATAGTTGGGGAAAGGCACAGTAAGCAGAGCTGTGAGCAAACACGGAAGAAGAAAAAAACTCTCCTCCACACACTGTTTTGCAAACAGGTGCAGGTTCATGCCACAATAGATAATAGTTCATCTAGAGGCTATTTTGGTGACAAGGTACTTCCAAGTTCTTACATAATACTGAATCCTCAATCGTAAACAAGTTTCCATTTAGATAACTGGGATGTTTACTAGATGTGGTAGGAGAGGGGGTTTTTTACCTTTTGGTTGGAGTTCCAAAATTGTATCCAGTTAGTGTTCTACTTACAACTCAGAGTTATGATTCCTTAAAGTTTTTATCGGGGGGGGGGGGGGGGAAATGTGCAGGTAACTTATCAGTCACATGCTGACAGATGCAGCTAACAAGGTGGGGCTGCAGTGTGTATTTAAAAACATTAAAACTCACATATACTAGTCTAAGAGAAAACATCACTTAAAAAGGATCTTTGGAAAAAATGTGCAGTATTTCAAGCTCATGTTCTTACCAGTGCAGCATTTCATCTTCTAAGTATGTATTTATTATACTTTCCTTCTTTGAGGAGTTGATTTTACATATTAAAGAAGCTTCTACCAATCCTTGAGAGTTTTGCAGTAAATCTCATTTGTGTGGAGAGAGCAGAAGAGCCTGAGCAGTTTCTGAGGTGGCTGAGACCTCTAGCGGTCCTTTCATTGTATGGCTGATGTTTTTCTCCTGTTCTCCTGCAATCAAACAAAAATAAGAAATTGCTCATGTTCCTAATGAAGCGGTAACTATTGAATTGATTGGATAACTCATCCCTTTCAGTTTCTGCCTGTTCATGTTCCTACTGAGGAAGAAAAGAATGATCCAGTTCTTTTTGCCAACAGAGTCCGACAAACCATGGCAAAGTAAGTATTGGACCATCAGTAAAACCTCTGAGAACGGTTCTGTTGTATCCAGCAATTCTACATATAGCCTAGCCATAAAGTACAATTTAGTCAAGTCCCAGGTACTGTACATAGGAATTGCTCTGGATTTTCACTAAGAGGTGTCAAAATCCTATACTGGATTACCCTGATTGTTTTCACATGGAGCATAAAAAAGGTTATCTTACATTGGAACATAGTATGTTAAATTCATAGAAAACTGGAATAAAATTATCTCTCCTTGCTTGGCAAGGATGAGTGGGTGGTGGTTTGTTCTCCAGCATTACTGGGCTGCATTTACAAGATGGTAAATCTTAAAACCTCATGGTGCTGTACTCATAACACAGTTTTATGGTGTGGTTTCACAGTTTCATGAAATGGTGTATATTGCTTTGACCTACGTGCAGCAGTGCTAGAATAAATTACCATTTGTTTCACATATCAGAGAAGGGAAACTGTCTACAAAAAGTTATTTTGATATATACAAAATTGATTTTGCTTTTCCTTAATTTTATTTCAGTGCTTTGAATGTGCCAATCACTGATCACACTTTTGAAGATTGCAGACTGATGATTTCAGCAGGGCAGTTGACTTTACCCATGGAAGCTGGGCTGGTGGAGTTCACCAAAATTAGCAGAAAACTCAAGTAAGGGAAGTTTTATTGCTTGGTCACATAATTACTAAAGTGCTGCAGGTGTTGATGGCCATCTGCCAAAGGTTAAATAACCAGAAAACAGACTTGGCCATGTGTAATATGGTGGTTTTCTGCATACAACTTACATAAATTACAAGGAAATCAGAGATGAGGAAAATCCCAGTAAGGACTAATCCCAGGTAATTTTTGTCACCACTGTTGCAAGATAAAAGATTATTCTCACCAAAGGGTGAGAAAAGTAGAGCACTCAATGGTAGTCTTGGTGGAAATTTAAATTGCTTTAGTGGTGAGGCACTAGCAGCTTGTAGCAGGAAGTAAAAAGCCTTTTTTGGCCTTGAAGTTTCCAGCCTGAGACTTCAGTTTACTGTTCTTAGTTTTACTGTGCAACCATGTGTCACTAGTGATGTCAGTTTTTTTCTGTCTGGTTACAGTGGAATTTGAGGACTGAGCCATGTAACCATACTCCATCAAATAACCTGGCACAGCTGTGGTGAAATCTGAATGTGTCCAATAAATCTTGCCTTATTATTAAGTGCTATATATCCATTTATAGAATTCCATCTGGAATAGTTACATGGCAATCCTAATTTTTCTTATTGAGGTGCAGTAGTGTATTTTGCAGAGATCTGACAGTTCTGAGGTTCTAGCAGTACTGTTTGGGTGGAGAGCTTGCTAGTAGAGCTGAGACCTGCTCCCTCTGTCAAGGAAATACCCTAGAGCATGATGCAGCAAAATACTGTTACACCTGAATTTATGGCAATTAAAAGCTCTCTGCTGGAGCAGCCTAGTAATTGGACAGACAATTCTAGGTTTGAGAAGTTATTCTATGGAAGTCTGACACACCCAAACATAGAACTGTCTGCTTTTAATATTAATAACCAGAGAGGAGCAGTCCTTAATTTCTGATTTAAAGTAAAATATCTGGTCTGAAGTACAGCATTAGAAATGCTGTAGACACATGCCCTGTTTGGCAATTTGTTATCTTTGAACACTGTAACTCCTACTGAAATTCCATCTGTCCAAGAACTGCTGTATAGAAATATCTCCTCTCCCTCATGTTTGCATAGCCTAAAATGGAATCATGTCAGAGAGCAGTTGGATACTTTTGCTGCTATTGCAAGTGCTTCCAAAGGGGGAAGAATTGGAATTGAGGAGTTTGCTGAGTACTTGAAGCTGCCTATTTCAGATGTCCTCAAAGAGCTGTTTCTACTTTTTGACAGGGTGAGTAATTGGTTAACTGACTTGTTGACAATATTTTGTTAGCAATCAGGTACCAAAAAGATACTTATTGTAATTCATTATGTCCAGCTTAGTAAATGCTTCTTGGTTAACAGTTTCTGTAAGGAAGGTAGGTGACTTATTTTGTTCATAAGTTTCAGTGGAGAAAACATTCATTAGTTTCTGCCTTATGAGATGGCAGCCATCCCTTGGACCAAGTTACTGCATCAGTATCAACAATAATCTTCATGCTGGTAATAGCTGAATATTTTCTTTTGCTGACTGCAGATTTTGATCTTAAGTACATTTTGATAGCTTAGTTAGCTGTTGTAATTAATTAGATAATTTAAGGCAAAGTGAAACTAACTGGGGTGTTAACTGGAACACTGCAGTGCTCCTGCTGTGCTTGTGAAGGGTGCTGTTAGACTTCACAGGGACTCCTCTTGCTTCTCTCTGGCCATAAAGGGTGTGTGTTAACATGATCATTAAGGCTTTACCCCTGGTCAGTGCTAATCTGTCCAATTCTCTCCTCTCTCAGAAGCATCAATGACTAGAGCAGAGACAGAATTAATCTTACTTCTAGGCCTCCACATGTGCTGCAATGCACACAGCCTGTTGTCCTGCAGGTGCCTGTGGACTGGAGGTTTTCTCTTACCATAAGAGCTTTCCCAACTCATCATCACTCTTCCTGATCAGTGAGCCTTAGCAGTGCACCTGTCCTTGGGATGCCATGGTAACTGCTGATTAAAACTGTTTCAGGATTTTTCCACATAAAAAGTTTTTACAAGCTCTAAAATAGGAAAGAGTCAAACGTATTTCCTGATCTGGTGAATGCCTTGAAGCTCTAGCAGAGCTATGTACTCATCCTTTTGTCATTCCTGCCTCCCCATCTTGGACCATTGGCTCCTGAGCTACATACTCTGAGTCCTGAAGCACAGTACCTACATCAGAAATGTGCAGTGGCAACTAAAAAAATTAAGGGCAATCATACTCCTTTCACTTTCTTTATATGGTGCAACATCAATAACTAGAACTAGCAAAGTAATGCTCAATTCACTAAAAGTTTGAAGGAATAAAAGATTGTGAAGACTAAGTGCAAGGCTTGCATTCATGTTTAAGGAGGTCAGCACAACTGAGGAACAGTCATGCTTGTCTAATAGAGCTGTTTTCAAATTGCTTCGTGTATGAGCACAAGCATTCTGAGACTTCTGCTTTGTGGGTTTCAACCTCATTATTTTTTTCCTCTAAAATGGTTAAATGGTTCCTCAAATCACATAAACATAACAATGCAAAGAAATAGGGGCGTATCAACACCTGACAGAAACTACTGAGAGGTAACTGGCAGCCAGAAACATGCACAGACACGGTGAAGTCTAAGCATGCAAATAAGCTGTGTTTTGCCCACGCCCAAGTCAGACACAAACAGCTTCAGAGAGCTACAGAGCACTGGATCTCCGAGTATCTCACTTCAGAAAATCTTCACGATGTTCCTTGCTAAAGCTTTGCTGAGTGGAGGAAGTGGTAGTAGTCGTGGAGGAAACCTTGCACGTGGCCTTGGAGGGCTCCTTACTGGAGGTGGAGGTGCAGGGAATATTGGAGGACTTGTTGGAGGTCTTGTCAACCTTATAAGTGAAGCAGCAGCTCAGTATAATCCAGAGCCACCTCCACCTCCTCGCAATCATTTTACAAATGTGGAAGCTCAGGAGAGTGATGAGATCAGACAGTTTCGTCGCCTGTTTGCCGAGCTGGCTGGAGATGATATGGAAGTGTGTGCCACTGAGCTAAGGGACATCCTGAACAAAGTCCTTTCCAGACACCAGGACTTGAAGGCGGACGGCTTCAGCTTGGACACCTGCCGCAGCATGGTCGCCGTCATGGACAGCGATGGAAGCGGCAAACTGGGCTTTGAGGAGTTCAAGTATCTGTGGAACAACGTCAAGAAGTGGCAATGTGTGTACAAGCAGTATGATGCTGCTCAGTCGGGCGCTGTTGGGAGAGCCCAGCTGCCAAACGCCTTGAGGGCTGCGGGGTTCCAGCTGAACGAGCAGCTGTGCCAGGTGATCGTGCGCAGGTACGCCGCCGAGGACGGCAGCATGGATTTCAACAGCTTCATCAGCTGCCTGGTGCGGCTGGACAGCATGTTCCGGGCCTTCAAGGCCCTGGACCACGATGGAAGTGGGCACATCAGAGTGACCATTGAAGACTGGCTGCAGCTGACCATGTATTCGTGAAGGTGTGGCAAAGAAGTGGCTTTGTCTGGAAGATACACCTGGAGGACTACACTCCTCTGCTACACAACTGTAGCCTTTGCCTTTAGTCTTTCTAAGGCAGATGTAGCTAGTGGTAGGTGGCTCAGCTTCAAGTGTAGGTATTCCTCTTGTGCATGCACTAGTCTGCTTTTCTGAGGGGTCTGTGTAGGTTGTTGATTGGGCAGTTGCATAAGTTCAGAAAATTCTAGATTCTAAGGTTAGGGAATATATTGGAAAGATCAAAGCTTAGTTACCTTTTCATGTAAGGTGGCTTGTATACTAGTATAACTATTATACAAAAAAGCTCCTAAGTTTGGTGTTGATGTTGCTGTTCTGATTTGTCAGCAGTCAATAAGCTGGAATAAAGGCTGTTTGCCTGAAGGCAGTCACTTGTAGAGTCTTGTGCATTTATTTCTAACAAGGGGAACAACATTAGAGTTGCAATAACTGTAATGATGAGTGAACTTACATAATCATTCAATTTCCTTTCTACTTCTGCTTTTTCATGCTTAGCTGCTGAAGCAAAACCTCAGTTTTACTATCAGTTCTATCTGGTGGCCAGGACAAAATTGAAGACTTATATGAGGCTACTTCTGAAAGGATTTCCTCTCTACAGTTCCATGAACTAGTCTTTTCTCTCTTTCCTTCAAGCCTAAACATAGTTATAAAGCAAACAACTTAAAATACTACATTTATATTTAGAGAAACTTGAAATAATTATGCAGTCACGTAGCAGACAGAGAGCCAAAGTCAACCTTTGGCCATCTGAGTGAAATTTCATCAGAGTGCAGCATCCCACTCAAGGTAGTTATGCAGTTCTGGCTAAGATGTCAACTTCTGAGTAAAAAAAATAAAAGGAATAACATGAACTGTCAAATGTGCATTTCTTTGAATTAAGGATTACATTGTTGATCAAAACAGTTCTTGCACAAGGCAGATTTCTTGGCAAGGCTCTGCTGCTTTAAACAAAAATTGTCTCGGGTGTGTGCGAGCTGGCTGAAATGTGCAAAGATGAGTTAAATCGGCAGCCTGGCACTAGAGGCAGCTTCCAGATGTGAGAGTCCTCATGCCCCTGCCCTTCCCCAGGGACACAGCAGTGACTCATTGAGAAATACCACTCTATACCTGCAGGCATCTGCATGTTAATGGGTTTCTGTGGATTGGTTTGTTTTGTAAATTTCCATAGCTTTGTTTTCTAAGTCTTGCACTTACACTTGGCAAATAGTATTTTTCAAATTGATGAGATATCCCCCCTGGTATACTTGCAGAAACCTTTTACTTGAAACTAACTTAAAATTTGTGCCCAAACTTTTTTCCTCCTGTACTTTGTTTAATAGCAAACAGAAAAATATTCATAGTATCCCAGAGAAAAGAGGCCAAATCCTTCCTAATGGCATTCAGCCTCCTCCACCCACAGTTCAGTGGAAAAGCACTCAGTTATCCATTGTGCCATGTAGTGCCATTTGGGCTCTGAGTAATAGAAAAGTGAGCAGGAGGTAAAGTGTGATATCCTCCTCAAAAGTATTGATGCAGTAGTACTTAAAGCTTTATACTGCATCTGGCTTGCAGTCCCTGTGCAAATCTAAATGGAGAATGCTTATGATAGTGCAGCTTTCTTGTTTTCCCAAGTCTGAGATTTACTGTATTACATAAAAAAACCAACAACAAAACCCCAGTTACCACAGCACGCTGTAGGGAAAATAGTAGCAGAAGGCTGGCTTACTTAAAGAAAACAAGAGTTGTTAAGGTTACATTATGTTTTGATTGTTTTGTGTAGCATAACTACAAATACCCAAATTCTGATGTTCTACTTTACCATTCCAAGAACTGGAGCTTAGCTCACACATTGCTTCCAAAAAATATTCTTGGGTACATAGGCTGCAAACACAGTTAGATATGCATAGAAAAACAATTGCAAGTGCTGTTTGCTGTGGTGTTGCAGAAGCATTTAAAGTTTTCCTGTGTTTTCAGTTTAACTTCCACTTCTTTTCCCAGGCAGCAACCCTGTCATTTCTCCTTAACCAGAATTCCAGAGCATTTGGAAGTTAGCCATCACCCTAGAGTTAGTAGAACTAGTCACAACATGATCTTGCAAGCATAGTGACTTTATTTCCTACTAAAAGGGCTGGAGTTCTGTCTATCAGACTGCGCTCAGTTTTGATTCCTGAGTTTTCGCACTTTAATGAAAGTAATATGACCTTTATTTTGTCTTTTTTCTTGTCATATTTCTACGTGCAGCCACAGCTGTGTTAACTTCTTTCAGAAATTGTTTTTAATTAAATTATTTTAAAGTTTACTTCCAATTCTTTTACTGTTATACATATTCTTAACTTTGAAAATAAATTTTTGAAATATTATAATCACATCAAACAATCCTTTTCTAAGAAGCCTGCAAAATTGTCCAAAAATAATATCCTATGGAACTTTGAACAATTATTATCTGCACTCTTGTTTCAATTGTTTTAAGACTATATATTTGTAATGTTACACTTTAAAGTTGTCTGTTACCTCTGAGAACTACAATGTGGAAAAAATACTGAAAGTCAAATTCTGCACCACAATGAGAGCTCAGATTTGTAAATAAAACAAATTGTAAAACTGTGTATGGGACAACATTGTCCTTTTCTAAAGATTAAAAACTGCAAAAAGTTATAACCCTTAAACACCCATGAAAGTAACTTAAAAGTTCATAGCCTATATCTGTGCTCAAAAGTTTACCTGAAATTCACAGGTTTCTGAAGTACAAGTTGTTCAAAGTCAATCAAAAGATCAATCAAAAAGATTGATTAGACCATCAGTATAAAGAAGATGGCAGTTGTCTATGCAAAAGAGTTCTGCATTGGTTTTGGAGGCTAAATAAAATTATATCTTAGAAGTTTTAATCTTGTGAATAGCTTGATGATGACAGGCTAGTAATACTGATTTCATTATATTATTACACATATTTTGTAATCAAGACATATCTGAAAATCTAAATTCAATTACTGAAATCCCTGTTTCATAGCATCCAAAATTTTCAAAGCACTCTACAGAGCAGCCTTATTATTCTCCCCTGGCATATTGCACTGTTCAGCAGCAGAAAACCAAGAGCAGAAAGGTTAAGGTTGGTATGCTGAAGTAGGTTGGTATTTAAGAAGTTGGTAGGAGAGCCAGAAATAGAATCCTGGTCTGGCTCTTTGCTGCAGATTTACCCAGCTGATCACCCCTCTCTCACTTGGCTGGAAAAGTTTTGTGTTGTTCTCATATGTAGCAACTCCACTTTTTAAGAAAATGTTTTTCTTTTTGAAATGCAAAGCACATTATCCACAAAGGGAACTCTGCTTTACACTTCAGTTTGCTTTTAAAACATTTTTGATGAATGCCCTTATTGTGAATATTCAAAGCAATGAACTGCTTGTCATCTCTATTATCTGTCATTACCTGATCTGTGTCCCACCATCTAAGATTTGCAGGTGGCTTTTCCCCAAACAGATGTCCCCAAAACACTCAAGAAACTTCCAGTGTGGTGACAGAAACACTACTGACCCTGTCTGCAAATACAATGCAGCTTACACAAAACTAATCACAAATCCCATCAAAACAACCTTCAAATGCTTTGTTGATGTAGCTTTATAGTTAATGCATTGAAATGTTTATTCAGATCAAAACTGGAATTATTACAGAGGCTCTTCCAATGAATTCCTTGCCCTTCTGGCTTAAAAGGTAGGACAGTGCATTGGCTTCCAGATAGCATGTAGGGCAGTGCATAGGCTCAGAGGAAAGCTTAAGATAAACCAGGTAGATTTGGTTGTCTTTTCACTGACATATATTTTATTTCTGAAGGTTCAAACTCAAAGCAACAGCCTCATTCTTGGCCTGTTGTTTCTGCACTGTGTTGTATTGGTCTCTGAACTTCAGCAAGTGCCTGTGCTGCATGCACTGTTACAGTTACCTCAAACACATGAATTCCAGTTATTCTTAGAGCCTTCCTGAAGGCCATGTACTAAAGAAAAACTTGAAATTGTTTAAGTCTTTTTTGTTTGTGTTTTGTTTGTTCATAAAATAGAAATGTTTACCCAGTTTGTATCTATTGAAAACACATATATTGCTACTCCAGCCTTTGTATTATGGATTTAATGAGCTCCTGGGTTTTTTTCCAGGAGGAACAAAAACCTCAAGTATTGTAAACTGTCTTAGTGCATGTTTTGTGTTTGATTTACAGAAAAGCTTTTAAAGTGATTTGCAGTATTAACTATAACTACTGCCTTGCATGTTTGGGTTACAGAATGGAGATGGCACCATCGACTTCAGAGAGTATGTAATTGGTTTGTCTATTCTTTGTAACTCAGCCAACACAGAGGAGACTATTCGGATGGCATTTAAGGTAAGTTCAATTTAGTGTAAATCTACAAACCTGACAAATCAAGACTGACTGTAAGTCTGTTAGCTTTCAAATCATAAGTTTATAGCTTCAATCTGTTATGCAAATGTGAGTAATTCTCTTAAACCAATTGACATTTAGAGTGTGAAAGGGAGGGGAAGAATTGCAGGCATCATAGAGAAGGGTTTCAAAAGCCATCTGAAGGCACTAATGAATATGTAACTTGGCAGGCTAACTCCAAAAATGATTCAGCAGCACTTGTAGTTTTTTTTTTGCCTGAGGTCTTTTTCTGCTGTGATTCTTCAAGGTCACAATAGATGGAGTAATATCCTCTTGTGGGTCAAGCCTCACTAGAGTCATTGTTCTTAACAAAGAGGAGGGAGAAAAAAAATCAAGGGCTGTTCAGGACTGGCACATTGAAAACTGGGCTGCATCTAAGAGCTGCTGGCTTGTCCTGTGGTGCCCTGATAGTACAAGCAGTCAAGGAGCAGTAGCTCCTTTCACATCTCAGGTACATGCAGACAATACATGACCAGGCACGCCCATGTTGTGAATCCTTGGCTCTTTTTTTAGTAGCTCTTTGACACAGATCCAGTTGTTTTACCCATTAGTCTGGTCTTACAAACTCTAGTGAACAACATATTGAGATACCACTCATGTTCATTGTAAACTGGGTGCTTCCTAGTACTGATGCATACTTGGGATGTACCAGAGGTTTTGTGGCAATCCCTTATATCCACTAGCTTCTTTTCAGATAAGCACTAGAGCTGTTCAAGGTGATTTGTTCAATTTTAGGGATGTTTCATTAGTACAGATTCCTATCAAGAAGCAAGCCTAGCAGCTACTGTTGCTGTTCCACTGTGTTGTTTCCTAGACTATACTGTTCATTGTGTTAACAAGCATGCTGATTATAAAATCAATAATTTGTTTTAATTTCCAGTTTCAGCACAAAACAACTGGTTTAGCCTGTTTCAGTCTAAGATGGAACTGTGGGTTCCTTTTGCTACTTGTTTTCTGTGCTACTAAATGTCTTTTCCTTCACAATGGCAAAGTTTGCCTGTAGCAAGTATTTAAGAATTACAGCCATTCATCCATCCCTTGTGTTTCTCCAGGGGTGATTCATAGCAGATGGTTACTGTCACTGCACTGGGCAGGATGGGATGATCAGTGTACATCAACTGCCCGCATTCCAGGAACCAAAATTCCTAATTATAATTAGTTCCTTAGTGAGTGATCAATCACATACACTAAAATTTAGGTATGACAGAGCATCAACTGTGATAGCAAGTTAAATCTGATAGCAGATGTGCTATAACCTAACGAAAATGGAGACTAAAACCCAAGATGTTCCAGTATAGACTGGCTGAATCCAGTAGACTCTTAGCATAGCTCATGGTGATAGTAAGCATACATCTTTGTTTATGTTTTATCAGTTTTGTATTATTTTATTAGTGAACCAATGCTAAGATGTTTGTTTGTTTG